TGTAAAAATTCTTGAACTTTATCTATGACCCTTTTATTCCATTGGATTCCGTTTTCGGTGGTATACGGAAATGGAGGGCCGGCCAAATGTTCGTAGATACGAGGATCATTCAAATATGACACAGTGGTATCTACATCATCTGACCTTGGAGGAGTGATGCGTATGTTATCATGAGGATAAGGAAGTTGAAGATATGGTTCTCCAGTTTTCTCGTTCACCAGCAGAGGGTGAAGTTTCGTAAGATTGGAAGGGAAATGCATGATGACTAGCTTCAGAGTTTCCGTTTCTTCGTTCGACGACTATATAAGAGCGAGTTGTATTCTTGAACCTAGTCATGCATGTGCTGACTCGAAGTGAATCCATGGACGAGCGATCGGTCAAAACAATACCAATTGTATTCCCTAAACATCCGGGATATATTTGAGGCATTGAATTATGCGGTTATAGCTAGCCTTGGAATCGATTTGATGGCTTTGTGACGGACATGGACCAAGGTCATGTATCAAATCGCCTCCATCGGTCTTTCTCGATCCACTTTCTGGTCTGAATGTGGCCAAGCATAACCCGTGGCATGTTTTATGTGGCGGTATGGCATGGTAGATGCTCACCTCGTTCACTTTTGCTGTCCATACTGACCCTTCAAACCCAAACGAACGAGATTCATAGTGTATATATACTAAGTTAGACGAGAAAATCCGATTTACATATTTTAGAAAAATTTGTGATATTTTTCTTGCACACGTGACAAGTGTAGTTGGTGTCTTGTCTTGTGGTGATGGAAAGAAGAGTATTCGCAGGTTTCACCAAGACCAATCTCACCTTATCTTATTATTCACAACATGGGACGGCTGGTGATAGCGCATCACAAAAGTTATCACCCTTATAAGGCTGAGAACATTGAGAGGGTTCGTAGAGATGAAGAAGAGGCAAGGCTAAAGGAGGCCAAAGAGGAAGGTCGCCTTCGACTGGCAGTAAGTTCTTTGCCACTCTATTTATTTATCCATTGAGGGCATTCGTTTCAGGACTCTGAAGCACGACTCGAACTGCTTCGTAAACGAGCAGGAATCAGCGCTTCTTCTAGTAAACAGACCCCAACAGACGAGGATTTGATTCCAGATGCAGTAAAGGAATCGCTAAAGGAACAGCAAGTAAAGGATATACCTGACAGCCCGTTGCAATCCTTGATGACCGATGGCCATATCAACCTATTTGCGGACCTTGAAAATGTAGGAGATACCGTCTTTGTGTGGATAATTTTGACTAATCTAACGTAATATTTAGAAAGAGACAGTATTAAAACAAACTGTTGACCGCTCCAAGAAGCAGAAGGGAAAGAAGGACAGTGACGAGGATGACGCTGAGACCGATAAAGGCTACCGTCTTGCACCGTCAAAAGCAGATCGAGCACCATGGTACACCAAATCCAAAGAAGAGGGGCAGCCAAATTTAGATCCAGCTAGAAGGTGAGCGAACAATCTTTCCCAGACTCTCCTTTACTTAACACCTTATCCAGGGATCGGGACGAAATGCGTAAACAGAAACATGATCCTCTCAAAGAGATCGAGGCCTCACTTTCGCGTGCTTCTTCCAGTTCGAGGATCAGTCCACCCAGTGTTTCATCCAAGAACTCGATGGGGCCACCTACTATACCATCTTCTTCTTCCAATACCATGTTAGGCAGTCGATTATCAAGAGAACATTCGGAACGACAAAGAGCTGCCTAACTTATCGCCCGAAAGCGAAGGGAACGAATGGGAAATGAGACACCAACCACTGTAGCACCTTCAGAAGCTGGGTATGGGAACATGTATAATAAGGACGATGTAGAAGCGGCTGCCCGAAGAAGACGCGAGGGTGATTCAACCCGATGGAAAGAGAGGGTCCGACATTGGGATGGAACATCCGGGGCTGGTAGGAGATGG